CATGAGCAACAAAGTAGTGAAAAGAACACAAAAATATCCCACGAGGCAAATCGAAAGAGAGAGCTGTCAGAATGGCCTAACAAGGTCACCGTCATTGCCAGAACCTTCGGCTGCACCCGAGCAACTGTCTTCAGACTGATGCACCGACTAAGAAAAACAGGCAGTACATCAGACAGTGCTAGCAGTGGTCGACCACGTGTTACAACGCCCGGTGATGATCGCCACATCCGGACAATTCACCTTACCGAGGAGTGCATCTGACACTTCAAAACCGACGTCGTCGATTGACATGCCCCAGGCGAGTTCCACGTTGGCAGATGGGGGAAAAACCTCCATTTCCTTTCTTCAAGGTAAATAGCCAATAGAACCAGCAGAGTCAAGAGCATAGAACGGTTTTCACGGAGGAGAGATATTCACTTCAAAGATTTAGCTGAGAATGAATTTCCAAAGGGTTTGAGGGAACTTATATTTTTGACTGGGATCTAAAAGAGATCATGTGCATAGCAACAGGTTATCGAAGTAACCTATAGACGTAAGGTTACACAGGTGTAAGGTGACTCCAATGGCCGCGTTCTCATGTCCAAGGTCAGCTCCGTACAAGGTCACCCACAAGTACATAATTGCGTCATGGCCGTCTTTTTTCCATTTTCACTCCTATACAACAATCAGTAGTTTAAACATGCATGCCTGATACACTCTTAGTGATTCATAACCCGTAAAGATTCGGGTTAGAATTGGTCTTCAGTAACCCATGCTTGTCGTGAGAGGCGACTAACTGGTGGTCAGGCTCGCTGACTTGCTTGACACATGTCATAACATCCCATTTGTGTAGATCGATGCTCATGATGTTGATCACTGGGTTGTATGGTCCAGACTCCATTATTTACATACCGCCGCAATTGCTAACTAATACATCACCCGAGTGTGCATAGTCCAAATACCTTATTGAAAGGTTAACAGCATTATATTTTTTTTATTTCAAATCTGAAATTATTTATTATAGACTTGAGTGTGCAAGACTGAGATTTCTGTGTGAAAATATCACTTTGCCGGAATGACTTTACGGCTCAAGAATGTTGTCTGTCGAGTATCTTGTTCCACAACACAATAAATGGCAATTTAAACACATGCATTTCACTATAATTGTGCATTTGGTCAAGGCATCGAATGACCAACCTCCAGTGAAGAAAACTAGCACCGCCAAGAAGACTGTCCCGAAATAACACGAGTTGGTCACGAATGCCATATTTATTTGTGGTTCACCATTTTGTATTCGTGCGACAGAACCGAGTTTTAACGTATGGACTAAGGCCAAAAGGATTGTTTCATGGATATTATTATAAGTACTGATCTTATTCAACAATGACAATGAATAAAAATAGCAACTGTTACCGATATGTGTTATCTGGATTTTAAAAACTTTTTGAATACAGAATTGAAAAAAAAAGTAGACAGTGTATAGTTTCCAGTTGGGAGAATTTGGATTACGTCAAGCGAATTTTCTCGGTATTAAGTTTACAAAAATGGAAGCGTATAATAAAGAGCATAGTTTGTGTGTCTCGCGAAACATGATCTGTCAACTCGTTAAGAACGCAATATATACACGTCACTTGATCACAGATAAATCGTATTTCACTTGTCACATGAAATATCCTTTATTTGTTATGAGTGAGTGAGTTTAGTCTTACGCCGCTTTTAGCAATATTCCAGCAATATCACGGCGGGGGACACCAGAAATGGGCTTCACACATTGTACCCATGTGGGGAATCGAAACCGGGTCTTCAGTGTGCCAAGCGAACGCTTTAACCACTAGGCTACCCCACCGCCTCTTATTTGTTATGAACATTAGTACATGAGTATATCAGAGTGAGTGAGTGAGTTAATATTTAACGTCACATCGGCAATATCTCAGCCATATCGTGACGAAAACAATTTAATCTATATCAATATAAGAAACAATACATTGAGAACATAAAATCCTGTCAGCAAAGGACAGTAAAACTACTAGAATATCACAGCTCTTAATTTAAAATTAGCACGCTATCATAAAAATATATCACTATACACAACGATACAATATAACACCGGGCTATAGATCACCAACAACTCAAGTCTGATCACTATGCTAGGGACCATGGGGAATTACAGCATTATAGCTACCTGCATGGATCCTAGCTGGATTTACACCATCCCTTCACTGGTGATTGTAGTGAAATTTAGCCATTATTTAAGACAACAGTTATTCTACGATTAAAATTATGTAGGTCGAAACTGACTTACGAATCCTCTCAGGAGGACAATAATTTTACAATGCTTTAACCCCCTTCGAGGATACAGCCTCTGACCATCTTAAACTGTCTACACAATATAAAAATTTATCGATTAATTCAAAATCCCAAGATTAAATTAGGAGAAACATGATTAAATATTATTTAATATTTATTCTGAACATTAGTGCGTGAGTATATATCAGAGAAACACACCAGAGTATAAACCTAACAGCAAGGCCAGGGGTAGAAGTATGTGGTTAACACGTAATAGATTAAGGTTGAGATATGATAACATAATATGGTAAATAAGTTAACAAAGTAGAATATAGTCAAGTTTCTTACCTGAATCAATAAACGTGAGTTTGTGTCTCAGTCACAGAGTATTTTGTGACTGGATGTCGTCCGCATTTTATACCTGTGTACGCTTTCACAGAATAAAGTTGTTATTTTGAACGTTCGAACGATCTTATCACCTACTTAGACAAGCGATATGGTTGTTATTGCCAACTAACTCTATCTTGATAGGATTGTGTGAAAAGATATAAAGAATTTGACGGGTGAAGTTCACGAATACATTAGATAATCTGCTCAGCTTGGATGCCACCGTTATACACCGTTATACACTTGATAGGATTGTGTGAAAAATACGGAGTCAAAAAAGAACTTCACAAAATGTAATTTGAAAAATAATGAATAATTTTTCTCTGATGATACATCTATGTATCCGAAATGGGATCCCTATCTTTCGACTCTAGAAAAAACGTTAGCAAAACCCACTCAAACCCATCCATTCGTCGTGCAAATGACGTTAGTGCCAAATCAGGTTTTGCACGTGCAATCGATCACGTGATCTTCGCATCGAAGTTTTCTTCATATGCACGTGTTTGCATTGGCCTCAAGAATTGATAAAACACTTTTAAACCATAGTTCTAACGGTACTTGAAATGCCACGATTGTCAAATGCCACGTGAACGTGCACGGCATGTTGCAAGCGGGAAGATCAGACGTCGTCAAGAGCAATGGGATGCAGCCGTCGTACTATGACTTGGGAGGTCGCCTACAACAAACAGGCACCACTTGATCGCCCAAGGTCGGGTCGTCCACGTATGACGTCACGAGCAGAAGACCGTCAAATCGTCCTACGTCACCTACGTGACAGATTTCTGCCGGCTACACGAACCAGGGCTGAGATGTTTAGAGGTCGTCTGTCCTCACAGACCATTCGAAATCGGTTGCGGGCTGCCAATCTCCCTTCTCGACGTCCATATCGTGGGCCAATATTGACGCCGTTTCATCAACGTCAACGTCTGCTGTGGGCCCAACGTCACCTCCGATGGACCCAGAGAGACTGAAATCGAGTCGTCTTTAGCGATGAATCCAGGTTTACCCTCAGATTCGCGGCAGGCAGTCTGGAGACGACGTCGTGAACGGTATGCCGAATGTTGTCTACAGGAAGTCGACAGATTCGGGGGCGGAAGTTGCATGGTGTGGGGTGTTTTCTGCTGGAACAACAGTTCCCGACTTCTGGTCATCCGTGGAAAGCTCACAGCTGCTGCTTATAGCGACCAGGTGCTCACCCCTGAACTCGCTCCTTTCATGGCGGCTCATTGCCCAGGTCTACAGTTCCAGCATGATAATGCTCGGCCGCATACCGCGATGTTGACACGAAATTTCCTTCAAAACGCTGGAATCAACGTCATGGACTGGCCATCGAGGTCCCCTGACCTTAATCCAATAGAGCACGTTTGGGATTCACTTGGGGGAAGGCTTCGTGGTCTTAGGAACCAACCTCAGAATTTGCAGGCACTTGGCGCTGCCTTGCAAGAGCAATGGCGCAGAATCCCCAACCACGTGTTCACAAGCATCAGGCAGTCGATGAGGAGACGATGTTTGGCAGTGGTGAATGCGCGGGGCGGCCATACACGATATTGAACTGAGAAATTTCGCATTTTTAATCTTGTGACTTGACATTCTGTATACCCATGTTTTGGAACGGCGGTGTAGCCTAATGGAACTGATTATGGCACTGTCAGTGTATCGAGTACATCACACAGATATCAGCAATGAAAGAATAACAATTTAACCATCTTACCATCTCCTGTTCTTTTATAGTGCCCTGAAGAAAGAATGTGAAGTTTCTTTTTTGACTCAGTATATAAATAGGTTGATGGGTGAAGCTTGGATGCCACTGTTGTACACCTGGTGCATGCGATTTGAATACAGTGGATGACAACTGTAGTCGTAAATCCATTGCACTTTGTTAGCATAACTCCATCTTAACAGCACAACACGAGCTCCAGGTCCCGGATGTCCGAGACTCGTTATCAGTGTTAACCTCGGCAGGTTTAAGATAGTGGAAAGTGGTCGGTTAGTCCAATAAAAAATAACGTAAAAATATTTTCTTAACTTCGTTCATTTTCCCCATGTTGATAATACCCCCTGTTTATTAAATTTGTATAAACAAAAAAACACCATACATATTTACATTGTGGACATCCTTGAATGTAGGTATAAAGACATACATGTATCTCTAATCATTGTTATTTACTTCATTTGAATATGACCCGGGTTTGACTATTGATCTTTAGTAACCCGTGCTTGTCGTATGTGGCGACTTACGGGATCGGGTGGTCAGGCTCGCTGACACATGTCATCAGTTCCCATTTGCGCAGATCGATGCTCATGCTGTTGATCACTGGATTGTCTGGTCCAGACTGATGATGCTTATGATGCCTGATTATGCTTATGCTTCTAATGCTTTTCGCGCCTGCGTTTTACAGCACTCCCGCTACACCCGCAACAGCGAATACTGCAACACCTGGAGGATCTTCAACGACTTGGAGGACACCTGGTCCTCAATCCTGAGCATCATCCAACACTACGCCCAGAACGAAGGGGACTTCATCTCCGTATCAGGCCCAGGGTCCCTCAACGATCCAGATGAGGTAATTGAGAAGAATAAGCATTAACTGACATGGTAATACATCTTATCACTGTCATTCCTGACATGTCGTGAGGTTCTGGGTTAGAATTGATCTTCAGTAACCCATGCTTGTCGTAAAAGGCAACTAATGGGATCGGGTGGTCAGACTCGCTGACCTGGTTGACACATACCATCGTATCCCAATTGCGTAGATCAATGCCCATGCTGTTGATCACTAAATTGTCTGGTCCAAACTCGATTATTTACAGACCGTCGCCATATAGCTGGAATATTAAACTAAAATTAAACTCACTCACTGTTACAGCGAGAGATATAAATGTGCAAACAGGGATTAAAATATTAGCTGTATAATAGCTGGAATATTGCGGCGTAAAACTAAACTCACTCACTCGAACCTTCATTACATCCAGTTATTTTTACCTTTTCTTTCTCCTTTGCATAATCTCAGTCCTTCCAGTTTCTTGCAGGATATCCTTTCCTCTGTTTCATCCTGTTTAACTCTCTCACTCTCTTTTCTTTATGTCAATAATCATTCTTCGTCCTCTCCCATAGGTTTAGCTCTGTTCATATCTCTTCTTTCTTGCTCTCTTCCCAGACTAGCCTTCCATTTTTCACTCACCTGCCCCTTTAACACTACAGCTGTTGAGAAAGTTGATGCAGCTTCTTTAATGAAACAATTTAAGATGGAGTGTATGTAGTTGACCATCAATATCTGATTGCGCAAATAATGATTTAAAAAGCACATCAGGAGTCGATTTCAATTGCTCTGGACTAGCGCATCGCAAATGGCTATATGTTGACTGACGACCGATAATGTTACAGCTGGTCATTGGCGACTTTGGTCTCAGTTACGACCAGGAGAGGGTTCAGTTCGGGATGTGGGTGATGTTTGCCGCCCCACTCTACATCTCCGCTGATATCAGACCACAGGCCAAGGCCATTCTACAAAAGAGGAACGTCATTGCCATCAGCCAAGACCCACTTGTAAAGGGAGCTAAAATGATAAAAGAGGTGAGTTATTCAAGGCCTAGTGAATAGTTTGTCTACCCACATCACAGTTCTCATCCATCCTCGTACACTTGACCTATGTCACACATACCACTGGAGGACGGAGACATCATACCACGGGCAGCAATGTCGTGGACATGCTAAGAAATTTATCGTAAACGATGAACACAGGACCCGACTGAAAATTGTTCGTTCTTGTCAACATAACGATGACTAGGTACATAGTTCTCTCCAAACATAACGAGGTCAATCTATGAACACAAAGGTACCCAATACGGGTCTAACCTCACCCCGTCCCGATTAGTCCTTACCTCGCCTTGTCGTACGGGTGTGGTCAGGTCAGACCTCGCCCTGTATGTAGCCCCAGTTGTCTGGCCGGACCTCGCCCTAGGCCTGTAGTCCCAGTCTGGTCTTCCCGGACCTCGCCCTGTAGTCCCAGTCTGGTCTTCCCGGACCTCGCCCTGTGGCCACATTCTGGTCTGGCCGGACCTCCGCCTGTGGCCCAGTCTGGTCTTCCCGGACCTCGCCCTGTGGCCCCAGTCTGGTCAGGCCGGATCTCGCCCTGTGACCCCAGCCTGGTCTTCCAGGATCTCGCCCTGTAGCCCCAGTCTGGTCTTCCGGACCTCGCCCTGTGGCCCCATTCTGGTCTTGCTGGACCTCGCCCTGTGGCACCAGTCTCGTCCGGTCAGACCTCGCCCTGTGGCCCCAGTCTCGTCATGTCAGACCTCGCTCCGTGGCCCCAGTCTGGTCTTGCTGGACCTCGTCCTGTAGCCCCAGTCTGTTCTGGCTGGACCTCGCCCTGTGGCCCCAGTCTGGTCTGGCTGGACCTCGCCCTGTGGCACCAGTCGCGTCCGGTCAGACCTCGCCCTGTGGCCCCAGTCTCGTCATGTCAGACCTCGCCCTGTGACCCCAGCCTGGTCTTCCAGGACCTCGCCCTGTGACCCCAGCCTGGTCTTCCAGGACCTCGCCCTGTGGCCCCAGTCTGGTCTTCCGGACCTCGCCCTGTGGCCCCAGTCTGGTCTGGCTGGACCTCGCCCTGTGGCACCAGTCTCGTCCTGTCAGACCTCGCCCTGTGGCCCCAGTCTCGTCATGTCAGACCTCGCCCTGTAGCCCCAGTCTGGTCTGGGCGGACCTCGCCCTGTGGCCCCAGTCTGGTCAGACCAAGGTCGGGCCCTTGGTTCCTTCGTTTTCGCAGAATGACCTCGTCAATAGTAGTTAAGTTTGGGGAGTATAACGTAGGTAGTGCTTGAACAGACTGAAATATTAATATACAGTATATAAAATATTTATAACGAACTGACGGATGTAACGAGTTGCATTTGGGTGCCAGGCACCAGCTGTATATTTTAGTTGAAATGCGTGTAACACACTAGGGTTATACTGAACAGAAAAATTGGTTGGCCCTCGTTATAAACGTAGTTTACTGTATAAGGACACGTTAATTTCTCGGCATGTCCATGAGTGATGCATCCCTGTATCATCTTCTTGATATCCCGGGTGGTGGGGTAGCCTAGTGGTTAAAGCGTTCGCTCCTCACGCCGAAGACACGGGTTCGATTCCCAGCATGGGTACAATGTGTGAAGCCCATTTCTGGTGTCTCCCGCTGTGATATTGCTGGAATATTGCTAAAAGCTCACTCTTGATATCCCGATCTGATTAAATACGAATAGGACTGTAGGAAATGTTTAAAACGTTTACAATTACAACAGCATAAACGTAATTGGCCGAAACAAGTTGTCCTATATCATTTTTGGAATTGACTGGACATGTTTAGCTTGAGAAGTGTAGCGTGGTCAAGGAAGTTGTGAGATGACGAGGCTTTGTGACGGTGTCGAATACAGGGGACAAGCAACGACAAAATCACTAGCTTCGGTTGATTGATCACAAGGCACTGAAACAAGAGAGTAGAACTATGTGGTGCAAGGAAAAGATTGATTTTAAAAATAGGCAACAGCGAATCAAATGCAATAGTCACATGATGCAGAATCTGAAGTGAATGTGTTTTCATTAACATTACGTTATACGCATCTTAGTTTAAGGACGCACATTTATTGATCATTATGACTTCCATGTATTATTCTGTGATTTTTTCTGTGCATATGTACGAATGCACACACATAATATCCAAGTATAGTTTCTTTGCATTTTTTGCATTGCAGATTCAAAACGTGCAGGTCTGGCTGAAGCCTTTGGTCAAACCCGGAAGTTATGCAGTAGCTTTCTTCAACCCAAACTCTGCTGGCACGCCAACGCGCATGTCTTTGACCCTGGCGGATATCACACTGACCAATCAGAACGGCTATAACGTTACTGAAGTGTTTGATAACGTCGGTATGGGAATGTTCAAGCCGAGTGGTCAGTTCAATGTGACTGTCAACCCAACAGGAATTGTTCTGGTCAAGGCGGTTCCTCTTTAATATGCATAACAAAAGACCATATTATCTCACTGATGTTAAAGTCATTTTTATATAAGTAATAAATGCTTTGATGAGTTGATACTGTTTTTGTACATTACAAGACCCTATATACATATTACATTTAATGTAGACGATACAATGGTTTCTTTAGACCACAGTACATGCAAACGTTCGATGACGAAGTGTAACACACACACTGACACACACACACACACACACACACACACACACACACACACACACACACACACACACACACACGAAACAGCTGATAAGGAAATAGAAACTTCTCTGCGGAGGCTGCACAGTGCCCATGTTAACAAGGTCCCGTTAACAACCGCCTATTTGGGGACAGATGAACCATTTAACCATCTCTAGGGCTGGAGACGCTGTTGGCCTCACGGAGACTTTGTTTGAACTGCTGACGTGTAACCTCTGATTAGAATAAATGAATATAGTTTTACGTCGCTTTTAGCAATATTCCAGCAATATCAAAGATGGGCTTTACACATTGTACCCATGTGGGGAATCGAACCCGGGTCTTCGGCGTGACGAGCGAACGCTTTAACCACTAGGTACCCCTACTAGGTAGTATTTCTAAATACGTGTAGTAATAATGAAAGTGCAATACCTTGTTAAATAAATGCATTATACATGTAAACAACTGTCACAGCCGTGGACATGCGATTGATACAAATGGACACGGTTCAATGAAAATGTGCTGAGAAACTAATACAGATAACGACAGACATCTTTTATATTCATCGACCTCCTCCGTGGTGTAGTGGTTAGAGCGTCCGCCCGGAGAACGGAAGGTCGCGGGTTCGATCCCCGACCGCGTCATACCAAAAGACGTTAAAATATGGTACTTGTTGGTCCCTGCCTGGCGCTCGGCATTAATGGGTACAACAAGGACTGGTCGGCACGGAGTCAGCATGTGTCTGAGTGGGGTATTCATGCTTCACTGCGGCATGGTATCTCAGTGGGCTAGCACTATAAAACTAGCTTCAGTCTGGGCTAGTACAAGCAGCCGCACATACACATACACAGTATTGTAAAATGTGGTTTGAAGCCAGCAATAAGTCGATGTTTGCTGACGGGTCTCCCATCTGCACTGAGGAAGTAGACAAGACGCTAGTCTGATCGTAGACGGACCCGAATCGCCTTCGTTTTGGTCTAATTTTGTTTCAGCCTTCTATTAATTTCTCATTGTTTTTTACCCCGATATCAATACACAAAGTGGGATAACTCAAGTACTCTCTTCGCTCATTGTCAAAAAAAAACAAACGAGTGCTCGTGATATTTTACGAGCGCTTCCATTTTCTGCCTGAAACAAATCAACACAAATCGCTGTCACGGTGAGTGAATGAGTTAATATTTAACGTCACCTCGGCAATATTTCAGCCAGATAGGAACGAGAAAGGTTTTCCATACACAATAAATATAAGTTGTTAAATAACTTTGACTAATCTAAGGACTGTAAAATAACTAGCGTATCACAGATGATGTTTAAAACTAGCATGTAAAACTAAAATGATTTGAGTCAGCTGCCACTGAGTATATGTTGTTTGAAAATACATGCACAGACATAAATGTAGTGATCATTGTTGAAGACAGTGGTATTTTACTTCACGTTAAATATTGTCTTAAATACCCTTTTCTTGATTCAACCCCACCAGATTTGTGGAAAATAACATTCACTTCCAACTTGTTTACCTGGTCAGGAATTTATCAATTAATTATTAATTAAACAAACTGACATGTATGAGAACGGATCTCTAGTATATCTATTAACTCTTTGGTATCCGACCTTTGGGGCCAGGACAGGTATGGTCTGGCAGAAAACTTTTCGTGACGGTGTTTGGTCACTTTACTCAAAAACTACAGGTACAATCGTTTTCTAACTTAGCATTATAATTGTTCTACCATTGTGAATATTGCAGCTGTTGAAGTTCCTCACCCAGTCAATGAATAATACATCGCTCAAGAATCTATGTTCTTGCTGTTGCATTGAGATATATGCTACAGAAGAATGTTTTTCCTCTTTCGCTAGAAAGGTCATGCCTAAGCTTAAAAGGATGTATGAATACATCTCTGGTGCTATAAAGGTCAATGTACTTTTCTCTGTGATACCAAAGGCTGCCATCCTTTACAAAAAAGAATATCGTTCCACATTTGAAGTCCATAAGCAACATTTGCAAATCCTATTTCCACCATGACATCATGCTTTAACATCAAGTTAGCAACACGTGTAAAGTTTTCTTTAAAGGATGCCGGTACGTACATAAAATCACAGCCTTGAATGGTCAAAGTTGTAAAATTGTTAGAGTTGTTCATATAATTGTGAAGAAAAAGGTTTGCAAAGGATCTTGTTGAGTTCACAAGTGACATGTTTCTTACTTCATCAATAACGGCTAATATTTTTTGGTTTACCCTCTTTCCACCATATCCATTTGGGTGTCACCTCTTCGTCAGAGACATTCTCACGCCTGCCCCCTGTATGTAGCCAGATCTTGTCCCGTGAGAGTGTGTAAATATTCCAAGGATTAATAAGAGTGTCATCTCCAATCTGTAAGAATCCTTTCACATCAACATTGAGCTTCATAGCTTCAATAAGGCATTCATACATGTAGAACCACCCTCTCTTGAAGAGCTCCATGTATATGAAATACCCTGAGGTTGTGTTCTGAACATGGGATGTAAACTCCTTGATGTTTGGTCCACAGAAAATGATGTTGTTGAAATAAGGACGATACATGGCTTCCAGTAATGGGATATTTGCATACAATGATGGTTCGTTGAAGGATATTATAAGTGCTATATCGCTTATAGAAGTATCTGGCCATTTTATGTCAGTTTTTGGACAGATACCTTTCAGGCGTTTGTGAAGTGTGTTTGTCAAAGAAATAGGGGTAACTGGAGTAGAGATAATTCCAAAGGTGCTAGTTTTCTTCAAATCAAAGGTTCTTTCTTGGTGTATTCGTTTGGGAATTAAATATTGATTTGACCGTAGCTGGGCAAGCCATTCATAAACGAAATGTGCTTCACATGAAGTGAGAAGTTCATGTTCTTTCAAAAGTTTCACCAAATCAGACACACACTCCAACACATTTAGGTTGCCTACACAATTCCAGGAATGCAGTAATTCAACCAAACGTTTGAAAGAGAAAGTGTTTAATTTCGTCGATTGTGATTGACCCGGGGATGGATAGATTCCGATTCTTCCATTCAAATAAGATAAAACACGTTGCATTATGAAATCTCCGTTTTGTACACTCAATAATGGAAGCGCCCAGAACGCTTCATAGTGGAAAGCCATAACATTTGGACTGAGGGAGCCAAATGTGTCTACTGGAAGAAATATTGGAGGATGCTGTTTAAGTGATTCCTGACGTACCGCGGGGTTGCTCTGCCCTCCCATATTCAGACGATTAAACACCGACATGACCAATGGCTTTACATCTTCATCAATGTAAAATTCATTCAAAGACGACATTGTTGCGTTTCGTGATGGGTGAAGTATTGCATGGGCATCGAATATGGTTTTATTGCGCATGAGAACTAGTCCTGTTTGCGACATGTCGTGAAACATTCTCTTTGAAAGTTCCAGAACACAAGTATTCAAATGACTTATCACACACACGTGTTTGGCTCCGTTGGAAATAGCATAAAGGTAAGCTTCTTTCTTGCGGAACAGGTCGTCATCAACAATGTCAGCGGGCAAGTGTGGATCAGTTGAGTTGAGAGAAACGCACCATGGAAATCTGTCGGATGAAGGAAAAACTGTAACATATGGTTAATTTGAGTGAATGAGTTTAGTTTTATATATTCCAGGAATATGACGATGGGGACACCCGAAATGGTCTTCATACATTGTACCCATGTGCGGAACCCGGGTCTTCAGCGTGACGAGCGAACGCTTTGACCACTTGGCTACGCCACCTCCCCTACTTTATTGGTGATCTCAAAACAGTGTTTGACAACTATTCAGATCACATATACAGTGTGTGGCAAGATCGCTGACTTTGTATACTGGCGACTGCGTTTAAAATCCTGAATGAGACTTAATAAAAAATGTACTTAGTCCAGTATCTGTAATGTACTGAGACAGTGCGGTCCCAAATATAACATGCTACATTAGACCACTTCCTAAATAGTATATTTTATTCAGAAAGAGACAATGCACGAGGTTTCATGCAGTGGCCAGCACGGTTACAAGAATTCGAATATGAAGAGTGTGTAAATTCTTAACGTCACATCGGATATGAAGAGTGTGTAAATACTTAACATCACATCGGATATGAAGAGTGTGTAAATACTTAACGTCACATCGGATATGAAGAGTGTGTAAATACTTAACGTCACATCGGATATGGAGGGTGAGTAAATACTTAACGTCACATCGGATATGAAGAGTGAATAAATACTTAACGTCACATCGGATATGAAGAGTGTGTAAATACTTAACGTCACATCGGATATGAAGAAGACCCCTTATATCTACAACCGCCAGCTTGGATATGTGCTGTCGGAAAATAGCAACCGTGCTTCACATAAAGTGGTGTAAGTGTTTTTCAATGTCGTTATCATGTGTGACCACCATTTGCGTTGATACAGCCGTGGCGCTGGCGGCGCAATGAAAACGCCACAAGCCGGAAAAGGCAGAAAAACAATTTTTTGGCCATCTCAAAAGTCCCGAAGAACACTTGAAACATTTCGGCGGGTATTATGTTACTTCATTTTGTCATTACATCCCTTCATTTCCACAAAGGGTAGAACATGATCTCGAACGAATTTTATCTTGGTAATCAGATTATCAGGTTATCAGATTGCAAGAAACTAATATGTGAAGATCTGTGTCCTGTGAGTTCTAGGCCATCCCATCACAGGCCATCGTGTCTTTGCGAGAATTAAATATTTATAAAAATATTGTTTTTGAGATGACCCCTGACTAGAAATGCTTCACTGTATAATACATTATGACAAGGCCGGACACTTCGGTGCACCCTGCCCGCCTGCTTTGCCGATCGCTACGCTACCATCGCATGCAATCGATTAAAACGTAATGTAAACATAA